TGCAGTGTCCCTTGGTAACAACCTGATTTCATGTACCTCGACTTTCTTTAGGGCTGTTTCACACTTGCATGTGTGACATTCCCTAAAACGACAGCAGATGGTGTGATAGACTCCAAAAAGAAACCCTACTTCTTGCAAGTTTTACATTTGTCAGACCTATTTGTAACCTGAAACTTATAGAAGAAATTGTTTTAAACCGTTAAACTGATAATGCAGCCATGGTGCATTCTAGACTCTTTTCAATATTTCCAACAAGAAATCACTCCCATGACAAATGTTCAAGCAGCAAAAGAAATCTGTAAACAGAAGGTTTGAATATTCCTGTTTATAAGCATTATTATTCAAGGGTACATTTCACTGTGGCTGGCATGTTTTTTTCTCTCCAATTTGTAACTGGTGTAATTCAGTTTGCTTTAAAGACCAGCATTAATCATATCCTCAGACCAAGACATCCCTGAACTTTGGGCAAATTTAAAATCCAGAGCTGAGGTTTGCAACTGTCTCTTTTGTCTACCAATGGGGTGAATCAACCCCTTGGATCTGAGTATCTCCACACTCTGGGGAAGTCTGAATTAGAAGTTTATCACTTAGGCCAAGAAGTTATCACTCTGGTTCTTTTAATTTGAGATCAAGAATTTCTGAGGCAAGGCACTTAGTATTTCCCATTTTGATACTAAGTTCTAAAATGTTATCTGTACTGATGTTTTTCTATTTGTCTCTCTTATAATTAATTTTGAAGTCAGTGGGACTATTTACATGAATTGCTGCAGGATTGGTCCCACTGAAAATATGAGTCTTGGGGATATGTTAGAGTTGTCATTTAAAGTGGTGGCCTAATGGAAGTGGCTGCACAGAGGATTTCTTTCTGTTAGATTACACATTTTCTTCATGCTTCTCTGGGTGACCAAACAATTTCAAGAACCTATTACATTATGGCAAACAATTCTGTATAGTACTCTTTTTGAGTCATTAGGATTTTTTGTTGTTCTTGTTTTTTTGAAGGTCTGCTGAATGTGATCACCTTTTGGGTCACATACAGCAACAAAAATCCCTCTTAACAGTTTTAAATGTCAACCTTGAAATTATTCTGTTCCTTGTGTTTCTTTTCTTTTTAAACCAGGGTGAGGGATTAGTCTGGATGATACAGACTGTTAGAAAAAAAACAGCAGAAATCCTCTTGAGAGAGGCAAGCATTTGCTATAAAAATAGAATAGAGTGTGTTTCTCTAAAGCTATGTCAAAAAGGAGTATGGGCTGAATGTGAGCTTTTAGTCTGTTATCTTTTACTCATGAGATGGAAAGAGGAACTGCTGACTTAAGTATATTCCTGTGTAGATGTGTGTGTTAGGAATGGTGGGGTTTTTTTTTTTTTTTTTATTTAAACATTTGGGTATTGTGGGCTTTGTCTTCTGTTAATGCCAAAACAAAAAACCCTTCTGGAATATATTTTAACCAATTAAGAAATGCCACTCATTACTACATTTCATTCCTTCTTAAAAATTATTTAGGCGAAAGATGTAAGCCAGGCCATTCTCAATGAGAGAAAACATTTCCTTTCCAGAAGTACCTGGGCTAGGGCAATGAAAGAGGCAGTCCTGTCTTATGCTCTGCTCAGTGAAAGAAGCCTACTAGTGCCTTGCAAAGCAGTGTTTGTGACTGGCTGGTGTGCGTGTGGATGTGAGAGACTGTGAGTGTGAGACAGGCTGGGGGGAGAGGATAACAGGCTGTGATGGGGGGTAGTCTGAGGGTAAGAGTGGCAGGATACATGTATTGTGTGCAGGGGCACCTGGCTGGGGCTGCAAGTGTGCTTGGCTGGAGTGTGTGTGTGGGGTGCAGCTGTGTCTGGCTGCGATAGATATAATGTGTGGGTATGAATGGTGGTGTATCTGGCTGGCGGTACAGATGTGCCTGGCTGGGGGAGTAGGGAGTAGTGTGCACTGGTGTGTCTGGCTGAGAGCGGGCTGGGGTTCCTGACGGTGGTGGGAAGGGAATGCTAGGTTCAACCCAGGGGTGGGGGCCCTGCCATGGGGCATCACCTAGGCTCAGCACTCAGGTCCCTGGCCTTATTGGAAATCCTGGAGGTGTGGGCGCAAGCCCGGCCACGTCTAAAGGCCCCTCCCCCAGCCTTGCGGGAGGGACCACCAGACCCAGGAATCAACTGAAAACAGGGGACAACCAATGACTAACAGGGTCAGGAGTGAAGGTCACTTGGGTCCCTGGCAGCAGGCGGGGGGATGCTAGGCTGGCTCAGATACCAGGGCTCAGGCCCAGAGGGCAGTCCTGGACTGGAGTGTGGACAGAACATGGGAGCAACCAGACAGGTTGAGAAGAAAGCCAAGGCTGGTCCAGCGCACACTAACAAAGGGTGGAGGAGCTCCGCAATGCTCTCTCTGGGGAGGGGTGATGGGTGGTGAGTGCAGCCCCAAGTGACAGTGCCAGAAGCCAATGGGAGCTCCGCGGGCTGCACTGTGAACAAGCTGTAAAGGGACTACAGCTGAGGAGGTGGGATAGGGCCAGGCCTCGGGAGCCAATCCGAGAAATAAACTAGCTGAATGGGGTGGTGTCAGAGTGACATGGGCCAGTCCAGAAAGGCACCTTAAGGGGGAAGTGAGACCATTTGGGAGCACAAGGGATAGATAAGAGGGTGGGGCCTTAGTAGCAGAAGGAGTTTGCAGGGAACCCTCAGAGACAGCAAGAGGGGTCTTATCCCTGCCAGGCCAGGGACCCTGAGCACAAGTAGTGCCCCCCTCCTCTCCCAGGTGTGATGGAGGCAGCCCCATTCTGCCTACACAGAAATCCCCCCCACCAACAGTGAGGGTCTGAGAGGGAATACCTTTAAGGAATTTTTAAAAACTTTAGCATCAGGCTGCTGAAGTGCTTGACAAAACTCCTGGATTATTTCAGGAGCTACCTGCAGTGAAGGCAGATATCCTTGCTGAAGGTAGTGAATGCATTCAGAACCCCTTTTGAGATTAATTGTTTTTAACGTCACTGTACATTCTGATAAAGCCAATACTGCCTGTGCATCTGCCAGGTCAAAAGAGGCTACATACACAGAGTGTTTCTTGGCATGTGTCCCCCAACATAAGGGGAACATTAGGTAGCACCCAGCAGCATTGCTAAGCTGAGGCATTTGAAAATCATGGATCAGGCTGCCTCCAGAGTCAGGGACTGGCTTTAAAAACAAAATTGTTTAAAATAAATAAAAATTGGGTGCTTAATTCACCCTTTTTGGGCACCAGCAGTATAATGCCATCTTTAATTGCATGACCCTGTGATATTCCCCCCCCCTCCCCCACCCCACACACATCACCCACCTCATTCCAAGCATAGGATAGCTCGTGCTTCCCGAATGAACTGTTAGTCACCATCTTATTATCATGCAATGTGTCCCCCCCGGGCCTTATTTATACTGCACACTGTTCAAACCCTGCTCTGAAGACAGAATAATTCATTTCTTCATGGGCTGATTTATGGTGCTCATGGCTGTAGTATCTAAGGCCATGAGATCGGTGGGAGTTAGGTGCCTATACATTTTTGAGGATCTGGTCCTGAGTGCTTCACAAACATCAGAAAATAAATTTATTAAAGTGAGGGAGCGCTATTATCCACCTTTTACAAATGGGGAGCTCAGGCACAGTGGAATTAAGTTTTTAAAGTATCCCCTTATTTTGGGTACCCTCTTTGAAATGTGCAGAACCTGATTTTCTCAGAATATTGAGCATTCTGTAGTACTTTATGTGCTCCAGGAATATCTTTCAGTGATTCCAGTTGCTACTGTGAATGCTCAGCACTCAAGCAAATCAGGCTTCTGTCTCAAGTTGGGTGCCCAGAAAATGAAGGACACATTTAGTAACTATTTCTGAAAAGTCTGGTTTAAGCTAATTGACTGGCGTCACATAGGAACACTGCAGGTTAGAGCAAACAGAGAACTGTGCATGATGCCTACTGCTCTGAGGTGTCTAAGAATTCGGCGGATGCCAGGCACCACCCAGAGGTACTTTGCCTAGATGTGTGCTCACACAAGGGACTGGAAAAAGGCCCCACCTTTGCAAACAACCATTCCGTCCAGCTTCTGCCTCCTGAACTGATGTATGGCCAACTGGGCCAGTGCCAGGACTTTAGGTGGAGGCTGATGAGGAAGTCTGAGAGAAACCACTCCTCTGCATATGGATCCAGGACTTGGAGCCCCTCTGCTCTCTCCACAGGCCCCTCCTCCCCTAAGCCCAGCCTCAGGGCTTTTGCTCTTGCCCCAGGGTCCTTCTCCTCCGCCTCAACCAATCCAGCTCTCGGGACCCTTCCTCTTCCTCCCCCCTCCCCCCAACCCAGCTCCATTAACAGCTCCTGCACCTTCCCCCACTCCAAACCCAGCTCCAGGGATCCCTCCTATTCCTCCCTCCTGCCCCCGCTCGGGAGAGCCTTCCTCTTCCCTCCCCTGGCCCACCAAACCCAGATCCGGGGAGCCTTCCACTTCCCTCCCCTGGCCCACCAAACCCAGATCCGGGGAGCCTTCCGGCTCCTACCCCTCGACCCCACAACCCAGATCCGGGGAGCCTTCCGGCTCCTACCCCTCGACCCCACAACCCAGATCCGGGGAGCCTTCCGGCTCCTACCCCTCGACCCCACAACCCAGATCCGGGGAGCCTTCCGGCTCCTACCCCTCGACCCCACAACCCAGATCCGGGGAGCCTTCCGGCTCCTACCCCTCGACCCCACAACCCAGATCCGGGGAGCCTTCCGGCTCCTACCCCTCGACCCCACAACCCAGATCCGGGGACCCTTCCGGTTCTTGCCCCGCCCCATACCCAGCTTAGGCGACCCTCCCTCTCCCCTAACGGGCTCCTCCTGCCCTTACGACCCACTGGGCACCGACCCGCTTCCCCCGAACTGAAGCCCCCAGACCCGCGGCTCCAGCCCAGCGGATCCCGGCTCTGGGGCAGCTGCCGGGGCGGGCACAGGCGAGAGCTGCGCATGCTCAGAGTTCCCGCGCATGCCCCTGGAGCCGCTCCTGAAAGGACCGCGGCGGGTCTCTGGACTTCTCGCGCGACCTGCCGCGGCCGAACGCGGGCGGTTTGAACGGCTGCAGCGCGCGGGCGCGCCCCTCTCTCCTGCCGGTTCCTACGGGCCCCAGCCTCCCGCGGTGAGTCTGAGGAGACGGGACGGGACGGGGTCTTGGGGCACTGTGAGGGGAGAGGCCTTTGGAGATGCGTGGGGCGGGGCCTGGTGAGGAGGCAGGGGAAATGGCTGGTCCCCAGCGTGGCTATGGGGAGTGCCTTGGGAGGGGTGAGAGGGGCTGGCGGGGAAGGAGGTGGTCCCCTGCATGGCTGTGGGGGGTGTGAGAGGGGCCTGGTGAGGAGGCGGGGAATGAGGGTGGTCCCCAGTATGGCTGTGGGGGGGAAGAAGGGGGGGTGAGGGGCCTGGTGAGGAGGCAGGGGAAGTGGCTGGTTTCCAGTATGGCTATGGGGAATGCCTTGGGCGGGAGGGGTAAAAGAGGCCTGGTGAGGAGGCAGGGAGTAGGGGGGTGGTCTCCAGCATGGCTATGGGGAGTGCCTTGGGAGGGGTGAGAGGGGCCTGGGGAAGAGGGTGGGCCCCAGGAGCCTGGCTCTGGGTGGAGGAGCCTGGCTCTACTCTCCGCCTACCTAGGCAAGGGGCACAATACAACGGATCCCTCCCCTCTGCTAGGCACCCACTGTGGTAGCTTGGTACATCCCACCCCTTCTCCTTGTCCTGTTGCACATTCCTGCAGACCTGTCTTGTAAGCCATCTCTGGACAGGTTGAGGAGGAGGGGGTGGGCCTGGCTAGCAGCAGCTGTGATACAGGACCCAATTCAGAAGTCTTATGTCACACACAGATGTCTACATTGGTGTACATCACGTGCCAAGGGGTTGGAGAAGGTGTAATGTAAAGAAGGAGAAGAGGGTGCTCATAGTTTTACACTGCCCTCCCCTTATCGTCCTTGTTGCTTTCCCTGCCATTCAAGCTGCACTTCTAGCCCCTCTGTTTTAATCCCTTCTGTCTTCCACTCACTCACTGAGCTGTATTTTGCACATCAGACAGATATAAGATGGTAATATGCTTGTCAGGAGCTGCATCTTATGTATGTGGAATACCATATACCCATATAATGTATATTATAGTAGGAGCTTGGCAGTGTTGTAGTTGAAGTTAGACATAAGAATGGCCATACTGGGTCAGACCAATGGTCCATCTGGCCCAGTATCCTGTCTTCCAACAGTGGCCAGTGCCAAGTGCTTCAGAGGGAATAAACAGAACAGGTAATCATCAAGTGATCCTTTCCCTGTCGCTCATTCCCAACTTCTGGCAAACAGGCCTGGGACACCATCCCTGTCCATCCTGTCTAATAGCCATTGATGGACTTATCCTCCATGAATTTATCTAGTTCTTTTTGAACGCTGTTAGTGTCTTGGCCTTCACAACATCCTCTTGCAAGGAGTTCCACAGGTTGACTGTGCGTTGTGTGAAGAAATACTTCACCAGGACTACTGTTATATTCTTCTATTTCCATATGGCCATAGCTTTCTGGAAAATGGTCTCTTTTGAGGATGAAGTTATCCATGCTGGGTATCAATCAGAGGGATTTTTTTTTTCCTCTCCAACTTGGAGCTGTGAAAGTTTGAGCAAAAGCCTTTCAGCCATTCATGAGTTAATCAGAGATGAACTGCTAGTGTGAACCCCTGTTAGTTAGTAAAGTTTTCGGGGGGGCACTGAACATTATAGTATCACTAATCCCTTAGCCTACTGGCCCCCTAGGTGCTGAGTTTTGTCCAGCTCCAAAATATCCTTCCTCTCCCACCTCCCCCACCCTTTATATTCCCTCCACAAGACTCCACCGCTAAGCCTGTGTATGCCCCCAATCTCTGGTCCTCTGTAGCTCCTCTCACCCCAAGTCCAATCAGCTGGATGAGGAGTGGGAAGTGCTGAGCCCTGCTGCACTAAGCAGCCTCAAACTGTTTCCTCCTCCTGCATGCTGACTCCTTCCTTCCAGGTGAGGGCTGAAAACTGGTGTGGGAACAGTGTCGTCCCCCTATCTTTCTCAGGATAGAAGCTGTGACAGTGATGACTTTCCCTTTCAAATTTTGCTCATGATATCTGTGGTCCTGCAGTGTCATTTACATCCCTCGGCCCAGGCTGCTTCCTGCAGCCCCCATTGTCCTGCAGCGGTGAACTGCAGCCAGTGGGAGCCGCGATCGGCCAAAGCTGCGGACATGGCAGGTAAACAAACGGGCCCGGCCTGCCAAACGTTGCCGATAGAGGTCTATAAAATCATGAGTGGTGTGGAGAAAGTGAATAAGGAAGAGTAATTTACTTGTTCCATAATATAAGAACTAGGGGACACCAAATGAAATTAATGGGCAGCAGGTTTAAAACAAATAAAAGGAAGAAGTTCTTCATACAGCACACAGTCAACCTGTGGAACTCCTTGCCTGAGGAGGTTTTGAAGGCTAGTACTATAACAGGGTTTAAAAGAGAACTGGATAAATTCATGGAGGTTAAGTCCATTAATGGCTATTAGCCAGGATGGGTAAGGAATGGTGTCCCTAGCCTCTGTTTGTCAGAGGGTGGAGATGGATGGCAGGAGAGAGATCACTTGATCGTTACCTGTTAGGTTCACTCCCTCTGAGGCACCTGGATTGGCCACTGTTGGTAGACAGGATACTGGGCTGGATGGACCTTTGGTCTGACCTAGTATGGCCCTTCTTTATGTTCTCCAAGTTCTACTAGCAAAAAACTCAGGGGACCTTGTAAACTATATAACCCCAGTAGGTGAGATTCAAAGAGCATCTAAACTCCTCTAGTAAAGCTGGTAAAGCTTGAAAACTCCTTTATACTTAAAGCAAGCCCATCAATTTATATTTCAGATGCAAATGTGACTCTCCCCTCCTTCCCTCCCCCCGCTGTTAAAAGTAACAAAGCCCTGTTCCTCCAAACACTATGCATCTGAATAGTCCCACTGAACCTGGTGAGGTTTCCTTACATGTATAAGTGCTTGCAGGATCAAAGCCTAAGGCTTGGTATACTCTGCAAAGTCAAGTCAATATAAATTACCTTCCGTCAACCTATTTGTACATGTCTGTCTACTTAAATTTGTCTCTGCCTAACATAAATGACTTGTTACGGCAATGCAGTAAAACCATCTCTCCAAGTGGCATGGAGCTGAAGTCAACCTACTAAGGCACCCCACCACACATGTTTGAAATGCTTTTTTCTGATTGCCCAGCTTGGCAAGCACACCTAGCAGTGTTCCCTTGTTGTGTGCAACTGACTCTGCCAGCTCCATGTACTAGAGACACTCCTGGCTGGAGCAGGCAAGAAGTATTGGATCTCATGGACCTATGTGGAGAAGAAGCTGTGCAAGCACAGCTATGCATCAGCAGTAGAAATGTGAATATCTACTAACAGATTGCACAGGAAATGCAGGAAAAGGGTATACCAAGTATCAGCAGCACTGCAGCATGAAAGTGAAGGAACTATGCCAGGCATACCACAAAGCCAATGAGTGCAAAATGGATCTGGGGCTGAGCCACAGACTTGCCGCTTTTACAGTGACTTGCCTGTCATACTTGGTGGAGACCCAACCAGCACATTGCAGACCACCATGGATGAGACAAGAGACTCGCTGCTGTGAACAGCAAGGAGGAAGAGGATGAGGGGGCAAGACATGGAAGGGAGCTTGAACCATGCCACAAGTCAGGACCTGTTTGAGACTTTGCCATGGTCTACCCAGTTTCCCTAGCCAAGCATGGATTACCCCGATGTAGGGAAAGGGACCATAGGTAAGTGTATGCATGCATTTTTTCTTACAATATTTAAATTTAAAGATGGTGCCTATCCCATCCCAAATTTAACCAGACACAGGTATGGACTTTTTACTGTCTTACTCCTACAAGAGGAGGTAGTGGTACAACAAATGGAGGTAGGGTTGGCATCTGCTTTTCATGACCCTGTTGGGTTAAGTGGGGGTTAGGGGTTCAGAGCAGTTTGTTTATGAATATAGAGATGTCTCTTGACTCCTCCTGGGCTATCTTGATGAAACTTTCATGGTGGTGCGCTGCAGTTCATTCTCTAAGGTTTCTAGCGAAGGCTATCTTATTTCTTCCTTTGTGGTATGATGCTTTCCCATGCCACTCCGCGATGAGTTCACCTGGCACCATTGCAGTAAACAGGCTAGCAGCATATGGCTCTGGGCAGGTTTGGGACCCCAGCAGCAGCTGTGTTATGTATACCTTTGTTACCCTCAGGAGTTACATATCAGCTAAAAACACCACAGCCTGTGGAAAATGGTACCAGTATTCAGTGTCACTGCCCTATACTAGTGCCCATGGAAAAGGGACCAAACTTTTATTGTTTCATGTAACTGAAATTCCTTGCCCTTGGCCAGCCATACTCACTATGGCTGGGGCTGGAGAGCACTGCTGTGCAGAGGTGCTCCAAAGCTGAAGTGTCGACACGCCTTATTAAAAGTTTTTGTGGGGGAATAAGATAAGGGAGTTTTGAAACTTCCCTTTCCATTGTGACTGTAAATCCAATGATACTTCTGTCTGCTTTTTATCAGCAGCTGCTGCTATTGCAGCCTTGAGAGATGCTCTCTCCACACCTGCAGAATACCTGACTCTGATGAGGAGAAGAAAGAAGAGTAGGGAGGACATGTTCAGTGAGAGCCTGCAAGCAAGTGCTGCATCAGACCATGAACAAAGGGACTATAGTGCCAAAATGGTAGACATGGAGAGGTAAAAAACAGACAGGAAGAAGGTGTAGAAAAATGAGACGATGCACCAGGGCATAATGGATTTTCTCAGGCAGAGAACACAAATGTTGCAGACTCTAGTTGACCTATAGGTCCAAACATCCCAGACTCCCCACTCTTTGCAGTCTTTGGAGAAGTCCATGGTTGTTGCTCCCTACCCATACACCCGCCCCCCCATCTCATGACATCATGGGGTGCATCACTACCCCATCAGTTCATACTGTGGGACAGCAAGGAAAATCACAGCTTCCCATACTCTCACCTATAAGAACTACGGAGGCTGTATGCATAGCCACAATGAATTACATTTTTTGCACTGAAATGGACAGAAATGTTTGCTTCCTCTCCTATTTCATAGTCTCATTCTGTTAAT